ACTTTAATATATATTAATTATTGAAAGCTAAAAATACAGAAAGTCATAAGCATGTTTTAAAAAGAAAATAACTCCAAATTATAAACGTGGAAATATAAGCAACACTTTAATATCTATACCTAAATCACATGACAATAACACGAGTAATGATTCTTCGAATACGTGATGTACATTACGATCTATTTATCTAAAAACAGTGGGTACAGCGTGTATGAAATTACAAAACTACTGTGTAACTTTCTGCTAATTCTTCAAAGATACCATTAGAAATTTAATAACATAAATGTTTCGTATGCGGTCTTATATCATGTATATATATATATATATCAAAAACATAAATTTATATAACCCCTTATCTACAATACAAACAAAAACAAGTAAAATAATCTACTATATGAAATTAAATTTTAAGTAAATTGAAGTCAAAACAAAACTGAAACTAAACATCTGATACATATATTGAACTGCAATATTTTTATTACTCCTAACTATCTGCAGTGGGGTGAGACATTACTCACTTTATCACTATTTAAAAAATAATAATCTTAGAGTTATTGATTTTAAGCAACAGATGACGCTTTAACTGTTACCTGGTACTTGTTTTCTAAATGTTATTTGCTCTGTTTTAAACTTATCTTCTGAAAGCGGTTTAAGGTTACATTATATGTCCAACTCTTTTTCTTTCCATAGAATTAGAAAACGAAAATTCCTCATCTTGTCAATAACAAAATTCGATCAGAGTCAGTTTAATTGTGAATTATCATGTTTAAATAAGTTTTGAAATCGACAGATTAAGTTCCATGGACTATTTCTTTAAAGGAATATCTAATAAATAAAGAAAAACATCATACAGTGTAATTATATTATGTGAGGCTAATGGCTTGTATAACTCCGATAATAAAACTTTAGTCTATTTAAAGCAGTTAATGGATAACATCATAATAACGTTCTGCTAGTATGTGCAACAGTAGGAAATACACAGTCGCGGTCAGTTCATTAAGAATAACTATCTCGTAACCACTAGTTGTCAACAGTTGTGGGTTATTTTAGATGTGGAACGTTGTTGGCTTGAAACTCCATATATGTTCACAATTTAAAACTTAGTTTATCATGGGAAATTGTCAAATGATCTTTGAATTTGATAGAAAGTGTTCTCCCACCGCATATGGGATCTACGTCAGCAGATGCCTGCCTCCCCTACTAAATATAAAATATTTTACTAGCCCCACTCTGAAGCTTATAACTCAGTTCTGTTTGCCTGTCCTGTACAAACTACACTATCTGTTAGTTAGTTTTTTTGTGATACAAATAAATGTCATTCCATGGCAGTTTTCTCACACAAAATACTAGGTGACATACCGACCCCTCAATTCACTCCCTGGGGGTTCTAAGAGTACATATCAGTTTTGCTGGCAATCGGTCCAGCAGTTCGCCATTTATAGCAGACACATATACAGACTTTTGTCAAATAATGGTTTAGATTTGCCTGATGAAAGAATGATTCAAATAGAATGAAATATCTCAAATTCGATAGTTACCGCTTATTAATAAACAATTTAAATTTTGATGTATTTGGAAAACAAAGCATTATAAGTTCATGAAGGCTTAACACTTAAATTCCATTTTGACCTACCTAGAAATCTAACATTTGAAGTCCCCTCTGGGATACCTTGCAACGAAAGTACATTTTATTGTGTTATACAACACATCTAGAAACTAATTATAGTAAGTATAGTATTTTGGCACTTGTGTATAAAGGATGACGTTGTAACGTCGAAACATGTAGAGTCGTCAACTATTTGAATGTTTTTAATTGTGTACCAGTTTAACGTTGAATATTATCTATGATTTTAACATCTAGAAACATCTAAAACCCACAATAGCATATCTGTCAAGCACATCTATAAATCTAACGTTTTCTGATAATGAATAGTAAAGCCACGGCAACAATTGTATACACCTTTAATGAACGTTTTGGAATTACACCTTACGCTTTAAGCAATTCTTATATACACAGAACCCTGACATCGAAAGCCCGTTTTTGGTACACGTAAAAATCGAGCTATTAAAGCCCATCTTATCTTATCTAGAAATTATACATTATTCAAGCCCATTATAGTTTTAGCATTTCAAATCTCTTCTGTCTTACCAAGAAATCTAAAACATAAAAGTCGTTCTGACATACCAAGAAACCTAATACTTAAAGCTCATCGTGGAATACTTAAAAATATAATGTTTTAGGCCCACTCCGATCTATTTATGGGAACATAAGACTTCAGAACTCTCCTGACAGACTGTAACAACTTATTTTTATGCTCATCATGATCTATTTACCAAGTGAGAAATTCTACATGTAATATTACTGGTACAGTTAATTAAATGATGACAAAAATATCAAAAACATAATTACTAAAAGCCTTCACTGTCAGAATGTCCCAAGTTTCTTCATATTTTTGGTTGACTAATAGATTCTACCAATGATAATAAATTTTGTAATATTTATGCAACTTGAGACTTCCTTTATTTAATACACTATCGTTTTACTATTCTATTGAATGGCTATTTTAGTATAGAAATAAAAAAGGAGAAACCTTACGAGAGTGGTTAACATATGGAAGGCATAACATTTTGCTAAAAGTATTTTTAATATTGTTCACGTTATCTCAATCATTTCTCTAACTCCAGAGTTAAAATATAATTCAGTATTTTCAAACTTAAAGATACCTCATGCAACACATGGGCTAATTAGCTATAGGGCTCGAGCACATCCATCCGTAATATTGAACTACTGAGTAAATGGAGAGCATCCATTCAACAGCACCTAGAGCTTATGAGATATGCACCTGAAAGACTTATTAAAACTTAATGTTTTGTGACTGTGCATTAAAAAACAGAAGAAAGAATGAAGTAACATCGATTACTTAATTTCTCACAAAGCAGCTAAGCCCAAAGTATCACATATATTTGTATCAGAGGGTTTTATTTTAATTTGAATCTTACCTATTTGCTCTTACGTTAAGGTCAATTACTTATCAACGCTGCAAACCAGCTAAGCCTAAAGTTTTGCATCGTTTTAAGCAGGAAAGTTTATTCTAATGAAAATCTTACTTCTTTTCTTTTACATTATAATAAATAAGTATTTTATTTTGTTCTGTATCGTATACGTTGAAATATTTATTATGTGCTGCTACGAAATACCTCGGATAAAACAAAACAGGACATTATTATAAAATATTTTTGAAGGAAAAACTTCTTCCGTAATAATCCTTAATCTTATAATTATTAATCTGCTATGCCCGCTTTGTTAAGCGTAAGATATGACTGTACGTTTCTAGGTTTTTGTTGCCATTATTAACCAGCTCATTAAGCTGAAACGTTAAGAATCCAGCCTGTAAACGTATTGTCATACATTAGAGTATACATAATTTATAGAAACAACTAAACTGTTGAAACAAGGGAAATCCTCCACCTTGCACATACAACAACTAGAACAATATCAAAGAGGGCGCTTAGACACAAAGCGTTAAAAATAAACGCATGTTTCTTAGACATTGTATACTATAAAATAACTTTACCGTCAAATAATTCGGTCTATAGCAAACATTAAATTTTATCTAGTATTAATTTGAAATTCCGGTTAAATATTTTATTTTTTATTGAACAAAAAATTATCTAAATATTCATACCTTTTGTTACGTACTTATTCACAAAGAAGCAAAAACTAAGAAAATAAGATTTCGTTGTGGTTTTACTAACAGATTTGAAACTCTTTATTTTCAATCTTCCAATATTTTGTTATAAAACTTTTTAAAGTCAGAACTCTTTAGGTTCCTGACGTATTCATTAATATGTATTGATAGAAAAAAATATTATTAGAAATTTGTAGAGATCAAAATACTGAATCATACTGATGAATTCTAGTTCTATAATTCAGTACGGTTATGTTTATATATTTTCATATCTGAGGTAACATAACTGCAAATTAGTAAAAATGTCAAAACGACGTTCATCACGTAATTATCAACATAATTCTGTTTGTTTAACAATGTTGACTGCTATATATTGGAGAAACTAAATTGACTAGTTCCAACTTAAAAGGAATGCATTGCTTGAGATAATTCCTAATGCCTTTTTTATTTATTTCATTATTGTTCTCATTTACTGTAGTCAGTTTATTGCGAGTAAAATGAATTTCAATACTATAATATTTTCGTGGGGAACGAGACGGTCATTTAAAACTATGTTAAATGTACAAGAATGACATTTATATTGTATAAAACATTAATATTATGGATTTATCTATGGAATTACAAGGATGCAATAGACTGACCAAATCTCTCGAAAATAACAGTTATGGCCTGTAAAACTGACATTCTTATTTCATTTCAAAGCATTAATGAGCCACCTAAATACATGCTCAAGAAATGTTCAGATGGATTCGTGTGTTTCGGGTGTGGCTTCAGGGTTGCTTGACACTGGAATCATCTCGCCCGGAAGTTCGCCAGAACAAGTAATTGTGGCAATAATTCCCATACGGAGTCGTGGATTGGTCAGGTAGTAAATGATGGGATTGAAGACAGTTGAAGCCTTGGCAAAAAGCGGTGGAATTAAAGTGAGAACGGAAGGAACTGTAGAAGGAGGCTTGAAAACTGTCCACAAACACACGATAGCATATGGTGACCAAGAAACCACGAAAGTGATAACAATCACTAGACACATCTGGAAAGATATTGCTAAATTTTATTGACATATTTCTCTATTTAAATGTATTTAGGGTTATATAAGTGTTTGTCTATCTGTTTGTTTACATATCTGTCTACCTATTACTCTGCCTGGTTTATAATTAACAATAGGAAATAAACTATACATTTTTATAGTGATTATATAAAACCTAATACGTTATGTGTAACCATAAATATATGTTAAACTAAAGTTATTTGCTTCAGCTGTTGCCCATTTCCAACGATTGGAGAGCAACGTGAAGGACTTAAGAGACTCACCATTGTTACGTTCCTTTCATTTGCCCACTGATCACAAATAGCACTACGCAGAGAGGGCGCAACAGGCTTGACACTCAGCTGACGAGCGATGTTGAAATAGCAGATGGCGATCAACAGGAAGGGTACTAGGAAACCCAGGACGAAGTACACGATAATGAAAGACTTGTAACTTCCATCGTTATGTCTCCAGTCAATGGTGCAAGTGGTAATACTGGGTTCGGGTCCGTATCTGTTAATTCAGTTGGTATCTGGTTATTTATATGGAACTTCAAGACAACGCGAATTAATCTGTAATAGTATCATTCTTAAACAGCAAGAGCCTAAAATGTAATACAGTGAGATTAGGAGTGTATTCAAATCAGATGCATTTTTTAAAGTAAAAATGAATTGTATACATCGTTCCAAGTTGTTTCGTATAAGGTATAAGACACAAGTACAGAACTATAAAGTAATTCATATTTCATTTATGACTGCTTCTTTTTTGACAGAGCGCGGTAATACTAAACATACAGAGAGATCAGATTATATTCCTAATCTTATGCCACTGAATAACTTAAATAAAGTAAATGTAATGAGGCCAGTCGGGCAAAATTATTAATTGTTGTTAAAAGTCTGATTATTCACTCACATTACCCTTTGTAACAATGAAAACTTATCAATGTTCAGGTCATCATGTCTCTTGAATTTCGTTAATCGTCAGTATGAATGGTTTTGTTTTTCAGCATTTAATTGTGTTTATGACAAAGCTGCTAAAGCTATTTATATGCAATCGTACATAATTTTTAACTACTGACCAGACAAAAGGCAGCCAGTCAACAGCACCTTATCATCTGTCACCTACGCTAAGGGATTGACTGTTATTCTTATAACGCACCCACATCTTAAAGTGCAGGGAAGTTTTTATGGTATCGCATGGATTCGAACCCAGTTCGTCAGCTCTGAAATTCAGAGATCTATTGCAAGGTTAATTCGCACTCTTTTTTTTTTCAGTAACAAATTAAAAAAAAGAGAGAGAGACAGGGCAGTTTGCTAAATATTGGTATCATTGCTATGGTTGGGCTTATTGATCATTATAGTGCTTTATCTTGAAGATAAACACATTTTTTTTTCAGTATAGTATATTTAGTATTAAGTTTAACATAAATATATTAGGAAGTTCTAAGCCAATTCGGCCTCCATTTTCACTTCATGAACTTGCATAGGATGATGAACCAATCTTAAAATCTACATTCTAGTGTAGAAAAATATAACGATTCTAACATCATTTAAGTCTCCCGCTGGGACAGCGGTAGGTCTACGAATTTACAACGCTAAACTCAGGGGTCCGATTCCCCTCGGTGGACACAGCAGATAGCCCGATGTGGCTTTTCTATAAGAAAAACACACATCATCTAATCTATGAAAGAACCAGGAAATTCACGTTGTCTAGAAAAAGCTATCTTTGAAACTGAATTAAAGCCCAGGCTATAAAAAATTTTAACTTTTGGTTATGTTTTTATATTTGCAATTTTTATTGTATATACAAATATTAAACAATAATTCTATAGTTGAAACCTCATTCATCAAATATATTACGTCTTTGTAGCTTACAATAAACGACATTTTAGTCAAACAGCTACGCCACCTAGGGACAATGAAAGACGTTAATTTTATAAAATGTGTATCGTTCATACCAGTAAAACACAAGGAGCTTGTGGGGCAATCTGCATGCCAATATAGAATATGAGTGATAAGGCGAAGATCAGTACGTTTGGAATTCAGTTTACTAAGAAATTCACCAGTAAATTATTCTTACGTAACACCTCAGGGATTCTACATCATGAGTAAATTTCGATTTATTTAATTTTTTATTTGTTAAAAACTACTTTATTAATTAACATAAAAATTTAAAAGATTTAATGTGCTTTTCTGCTCGAAACATATTTAATTCAATTTGGTTTTATCACTTAGCGCACTCTGGCAACTCAAAGTAAAGTTAAATGCTAGACATAGATTTTTGTATAAAAGATAAAATAAATCTTTAAATGGAATTTTCCTAATGAGCTGATTTGCAAGTTCCCATGTATTATGTATTTTTATTTCTCTTTGTTTTCAACTCAAACATTTTCAATTTTATTTCGTAAGCGAACCTTCAAACGTAAGCGTAAGCTCTAGCGAACTTTCAAATTCTGCTAAGTACAATAAAGATGTTTTCTTTAAATAAAAATCTTAGTAATCGATTCACGCCCCCAGTGGCACGGCGGGATGTCTACGTACTTACAAAGTTAGAATCCGAGTTTCGCTATCCATGGTGGGAAGAGCACAGATCCCCCCCCCCAGTGGCACGGCGGGATGTCTACGTACTTACAGCGTTAGAATCCCAGTTTCGATACCTGTGGTGGGCAGAGCACACATAGCCCTTGTGTAGCTTTGTGCATAATTAAAAACAAACAAACAAGAGCACAGATAGTCCATTGTGTAGCCTTGTGCTTAACTTTAACCAATCAACTGATTCATTTTTCGGAAAACATAATTTAATAATACAGTAAAACACGAACGTAGTAACATGAAGCATTTATTAAATGTTTCGGAATCTTCAAAATTCCATCTTTAGTAATCTAGAGATACAAAATAAACACAATAGTAATTACAATAGAAATATGATATAACATGAAATATATAATAAGTACACAATGATAATTACAATAGAAACATGATATAATATGAAATATATAATAAGTAAACAATTTGGATATACCGAACATTCCAAAACGTTAAATAAAATGCTTCATATTATTACGTTCGTGTTTTGCTTTATTATAAACAATCTTATATATATATATATGTTATAATATTATAATGCTGCATACTAAAACTAGCTATTCTGGTCGTGTAACATATTCAGGTTTAGTATTGTGACTCATTTGAAAGGCCTACCAGATGTGTTAATCTTTGTTTAAAATAAAAATTCATTGAGTAAACTTTAATATAAATTTAAATTCAGCGTTTCTGTTGAGGCAACTATATACAGTGGGTTTTCAAAATATTGTCAGAAAAAAAGTGTACATTAAAAAAAAAGACACTGGCTCTTACCTTCCCCATCCAATGAGAGGCATCACTGACCAAAATATGGCGTAGACCCAAACAGCACATATCATCTGGCAATATCTTTTATAGGTCAATTTCCGTCCTATAAAGATCATAATCAAAGCACTAATTTTAATTAAGCTAATTTACTTTAGTGTAATTCAATGGGTCTAAACGTTAGGACTGCTTTGCTAATGTACACATAACCAAGACAATTAAGCATGTTTAAGTTACTTTTAACATTATAACAATGATATATTTTTCTTCAAACCTTCTACAAAAATGTAGGTAAGTGTAAATATATATTTTTAGGTGTTTAAAAATCCTGTTCAAGTACTATACTACAGAAATTTATTTCCAGTACAATTGGAACACATTTTAAATTGCTAACGAAATCAATATTAAATTTCAAATATTTTTTGTAATTCTACTCTGTTTGAATAATTCTGAAAATGAGTGGGACTCAGAGAACAAACAGAACCGAACGTGCAGACTCTACGCAGAGAGCGGGAACAAATTCTAACGAATTGGAGATACTTCGCAAAAACAAATGTTTCCGAATATGAGATTATATACTTGAGGTATTTTAAAGGCAATCGTTTAGTTTTTAATTTTCGTTTTATTTATTTTTCAAGGTGGTTTTTACAACTTGTATTAGTCAGTTTTCGGAACATTTTTTAAAAATAGAAATCTTTGCAAACAACAAATATTGGAAAATGTTCAAAAAGTTTCGGTCACAGTTTACTGAAAGTTAAATAGTTTAGTTTTTTCACAATTAATAGTGAATTTAACAAGATGGATCACGTGTCTTTTCCAAACAACTATTACCGTGTGTAATAGTTATTTTCTTACCAGAAGGGTCAAAAAAGTATTGTCTATTTTGAATTTGAGAAAATTTATAAACTGATCACTATAAATTATTTCAGTTCTGTTAAACCTGGTCTGGAAAATATTGTGGACCTTGAAAAACTGTTACTTATATCTGAATACATGTTAATTGATGGAAGTATTAAATATTAGCAGTTTTCCATTGAAAAGTTTGAACTTTAATCTGTTATCTCGTGCTCTTTATGAGGCGCCAAATGTAACTTTGCAATATTAGGAAAACTGTTTTTACAGAGAGAGAAAAAAAGGAATTTTTCCAAAAATTAGTTTCTTCTCTCATCTTGATTAATTGGTCAAATAGACTACAGTATGCAGTTACATTTTCAACACCCAAAGCATTGTAAATCAACTGGCATTGTGACATAATATTTAGCACAGATATTAGCCTTTTGTACATATGTACTTTATATATGTGTGTGTATGTATATAGCAAAAAGTATGACTAATGTTTGTAATAATAATTAATTTTAGAGGAAAATTCTGTTATCTTTTTTTTTTTTTGAATAAAATAATGATTTATGCATGAGAAATATCTGCGATAGGTTTCTTACGGAAATCAATACGGCACGTGATGAGGTAACGGTCCAATCCAAGCAGAGCTAGTACACCAATGTGAGCGGAGCCAAAAAGAAACCCCATAAATGCATACCATTGACACCCTCCTTCATTAAACAGCCACCTAAAAGAAGGAAAAATAAAAGACACTTCCACATTTTGTTAGAGTTTTATTATTCAATATAATAATTATTAAAACTCGATTCTGCTTTAGGTGTGAATATTGTGAAAACAAGTATCTGATTCACACAGAAAAAACTACAGTGCGTTTTTTATACCAGTTAATACTTATTTTTTTTTCAAAATCAGTAAAATTTCTTGATATATATATATATATATATATGTGTGTGTGTGTGTGTGTGTGTAATTTGATTTCTAACTTCTTACTCTTAAACAAACGATAGGTTTACATTGTCTTCTAAATATCTTCTTTAGTGTCAACCGTATAATACTAACTGTACCAACCACATAGTAACTTTTGCTCCACCTGTATAGTGAATGAATACAAATATTGTCAAATTGTTAAAACATGATATTTATTGAAGAATTTCTATGTAAGTTTTAGTATATTGAGTCGACTCTAAAGAAGTCAATATTGTACTTTTTTTTATGCAAAGTTAAGTATGAAGCGGATAAGCGTTTCTGGTAGAAACGTTGATCAGTTTATTTGTATCCAATTTCTACATATAGATTCACCTGATTGAAAGCTTTAGCTCGATGAGAAATCCTACATTCTCCAATAAGAAGCTAAATTTGATATAGCTAAAGAAATAAAGCTCATAAATTTGTTAGTATCATTACCTGTTGGCAAAACTAGATGAAGCGGAGAATGGGAAACCGAAGAGAATTATTCCTAAATCGGATACAGCCAAAGTAATCAGTAAGAGGTTCGTTGGAGTAAGTAAGGTTCGAAATCGGATAAACATTGTAATGATGATCCCATTACCAAATGTCCCCAGGATTCCTGATGATAGGAAAATCAAAGTTAACATCTAAGAAATCACTGTCCACATGTAAATGATCCACACAAAGCAATTCACAACAAAGACAGAAACTACTATATGATAAAAAATGTAGTTTTGGTTGAGCTAAAGTATAAATTTCCGAAGTGTACACGGGAATTAAAACCTGAAAATAAAGATAATTCATAACATTTAAAAATGCTTTGTGAATTATTCTTAGTGGCTATTTGTTATTTTCATAATTATATTTTCATGTGTATGAACATTTTATTAATACTTTTGTAGTTAGAAATATCTAACATAATATGAAGAATTTACTTGTATCGAATATCTACTAGGTGAAAAATTAAAAATCTGACATTCTGACAGCTTTGTTTACCACATACCCTGAATAATTGAGAAAATAGTTCAAGAGAACACATTCATATCTATAGAAACTGTTGCTTTAAACATTAAATTCAGCAAAAAAGTAACATTGGAGTTTTACATTTTACAAAACTTGTAACAAAGATATCGAAACAAATTAGATTCCTAAATAATTATGTGTTAAACAATTGGGTGTAGTTTTAAAGTAAAAGTCAATCAAATTATGATCAAAGAAAACAGCAACAACGCTCACGAGAAAGAAGAACACCCAATAAAATAAATTACAACATCGTCAAGACAATAAGAATGGTCAATGGGGTCCAAGGGATATTGGCAACAGTGTATATTTCTGTTCTTCTACCACCACTGATGGAATTTTGCTTTTTATAAAATGAAGTGTCGGATCATTAAACGATCCTCATGAAGTCACATAATGATGTGCTAACAGTCTCTCGCTAACAAATTCTGTTACCCATAAGAAAAACCTAAAATATTTATTTACCATGTTTTGTTTTGTTTTTGTTACAAGTTAGGACTTATAGTTTAGTTAACTGTATTTTTAGAGAGATAGGAGGTAAACATTATAGAAAGAGTAAAGTATATATCCCAAATGAATCTGATTTGTTTTTCTTATAGATATGATTTCCCTCACTTTATTTCGCTGTATTATTTAACACAAACATATCTACCGAGACATTAAGAAAAAAAGTAGCGCTAAGGTGAAAAACATACTGAACTACCAAGATTTACTCTGTTATTAATATGGTGACGAAGTTAGAATAATCCTGGTGTTATAATTTTGTCATTGTTTATTTTATTTATTGTGAACGTGTTATACTTAGGACAACGGAAAAGCATAATATCATCAATTTGAGTCCATTACAAATAACCTCTAATGATTTTCACAGGAAACAACTACACAAGGGGCCATCTGTGCTCTACCCATTACGGGTATCAAAACCCAGTTTCTAGCGTTGTAAACCTGCAGAAATACCGTTGTGCCACTGAGGGACTATTTTATAGGTAAAGTAAATTAGACGCATGCACCCAAATACATACCTGCGCGTGCATGTAGCCAAATACGCACCTGCGCATGCATGTACCCCAGTACGTACCTGTGCGCGCATCTACCGTTATACGCATCAGCGTGCGCATGTACCATTATACGCACCAGCGCACGCATGCACCCAGATATGCTTCTGCATGCGCATGTACCAAAATGCGTAGCTGAGCGCGCATTTACCATTATACAAACCTGTGAGCACATGTACTCAAACACGCACCTGCGCGCTCATGTACCAATATCCGCACTTGTACGTGGAAGTACCATTATATGCACCTGTGAGCACATGTACCCAAACACGCACCTGCGCGCGCATGTACCAATATCCTCACCTGTGCGTGGAAATATCATTATATGCACCTGTACCAGTATTGGCTCCTGCACACGCATGTACCCAAATATGCACATGTGCACGCATGTAACAATATCCGCACCTGTGTGTGGAAGTACCATTATATGCACTTGTACCAGTATTGGCTTCTGTACACGCATGTATCCAAATATGCACCTGTGCACGCATGTAACAATATATCCACCGAACTGGTGTATTTAAGTGTTTTACACTCACAAAAAGAAAACTATCATTCTATCGGTATTTAAAGAACTTGTAGCATTCCGCCACAGTTTAATTCTTCGTACTGTTAGCCGACACTAAGCAGCTTGTACATAATTGAATAGAGTTGTTTAAGCATTTGTTTAACAACAAGTAAAAGATTGGAATGGTCTATTCTTTCACTGCGGGTGTGTCTGTGAGCCAGACTAGTTTCACTACTATAAAGGCTTGGTTTGGTCTGATATTTCATTGGTGGTAGTGTCTAGGATTACTGATGAGGAGTGGAATTATCCGAAACTAGTCTGGTTCACAGACACACCCCCAGTGAAAGAATAGACCAGTCCAAGCTTTTACTTGTTGTTAAACAAATGTTTAAACAACTCTATTCAATATATGCACCTGCGCACGCATGTACAAATATTGAAAAAACTTAAAATTTTGTATTTTAAAGTTCAGCATAGTCATCAGAAAATATTCTCTAGAAGTAAATTTGAATTCTCTTACTCTTATTGAGTTGAACGCAAATAAATAAACTATGCACAGTGACAATAATCGTTATTGGATGCTTAAACTCTATGAAAATTGACAAATGCATAAGACAAAAGACAAACCTTTTAGTGGATTGTTTGCTCCCTAAACTATTCCAAGAAATCTATTAAAGGCTTATTAAAAACTAGTTAACTTGAATTATTATACCTTAGGAGATTATTTGTCCAGCTAAACAAATTACTTAATTTTGTTTACCAGATTAAGGACTTGAACTTGAGAGAGAGCGAGATAGATAACTGAGAGAGTATAGCATTATTACAAAATTCAATAATGACATTTCTCTCTCAGGGCACACGCAATATATACAAATGGAAAATATTGTTGGCTAGTTTCACATAGCATGTTTAATTGTACATAAATATTTCCCATGAGATAGCAAAGATTAAACTATAGGCGAATGACCCAGAACAAAAGGTTATAGGGTGAAAGGAAATAAGCTATTTTCTTGACCATCGTTCTGAGTCAAACTATATACAGTTGTAAAGGAAGGTTTTCACCAACTAAGATGAAAGTTATGAAAAAAGCAATAGGTTTCTAAATGGGCTAAGTTTCATTATGTAATTTCTAGTTAAACAAAGGTTGGATAGATATTTATTAGATAATGAAAAAATGCACTTCTTGTGGCTGTTTTACCTATCACATTGTGCAAAATGGGTTAATATGGCCTCATCTAAATTACAACAATTGCAATTTGAAACAAATGCTACATTTAGTAACATCACTTAAAGCTAAGTTTAAATTCCAAGTGTCAGCGAATTATTAGAAACCAATGGGACTAAGATTTGTGATGAGGATCGCATGATTTGTATTACAATTTTAGGCCTATTGCATTTAACTCATCATTTAAATGCTCCTGGCAGGGATCGCAAAGGCCTGTGCCATGCACAACAGCTTGCTCATTATATACGATAATGGCACAAAAGAAGGTGTGGACTAATGTAAGATAATGACGTACATTGCTGCTAAAGCCTGTGATTGAAGTATATGTCTTTGTAGAGAGGTAAAATGACCACTCATTATAAAGCAATCACCCTTTATTAAAAGTTTATTACACTTGATCTGTGTTTCTTTTATAGAAACTTCGGCTTTCTATAATTCCTCATTATTTGAAATCAACAAAGTGAAATTCTCTTAAATAACTATTTTGTACCCATCAAAAAATTTAAAATGCTTATATTGCACAAACGTTGCTAAAACCCAAAAAAATGAAATTGCACATTTGATCATTCTCACTTGTACACATCCACCATTGTTGTACGAGATCACAAGAACAATAGTTAGCATGATTTTCTCTAGATATTAGCACTTCATAATTGATGATATACAGGGGTAGCCATTTTACTGCAAGAGACCATCTTATCCCACTTTTCCCTATGCATGAAAAGTGCAGGGTATCAAAAAATAGCTGTTCGTGTTTAAAACAAAGATGCAACAATAGTTCTATCTCAAAAGTGTTGGTCTGAGCCAAAAAGCAAATTTTGTTACAAGACATTGTAAAATTATAATGTGTTTCCATAAACGACAAACTATTTTGTAGTTTGCGGAATTTAAGTCTGTTGCACTCTTGTAATGCCAATTCCAAGATACAGTTTCTTCTCATAGTTGAAAATAGATGGTGTTATTGGTACATATTTCTTCCATCAAGACCAGGCATTGTTCTATTTTGAAGTTTGTATTTGTGAGAAACTGGAAAATGTCCTACTAAACTGCTGGGTTGGTTGTGTGGGACTGTTACTCTGGGCTCTGTGACCTCCAGTCCTAAAGCTGCTAAAATTTTAGTTCTAGAGACACACCAAGACTATACGGATTACACTATAAGTCCATGGCGATCATGTAAATATGGTAATAAACCTGAGAGTAAATAGACCAATATGCACTTTACCTCATGTCCAGCCACCCCATTTGTCCTACAATGGACCTTGTGTAAAACTCGATTCCGGGATCCTATTTCCTATTCTTATCAGCAGCAGCAGATTAACTCACATACCCCATCACCTCAACCAAATAAGGTGTCCCCGGTAAAACCCACAACAACATAGAATGAAGGAGAAGATTCGTTTTCAAAGATGACTAGAATGAAAAAATGAGCTGAGATCAACAATGCATGAAAGGTGTCTGAATGCCTTGTATCTCATGTCAGTTGAATCAGAACTGGTACGACAAATGGACTTTGATGACCTCATATGAGATTCTTCTTCGTTTGTTACTTTTCAAACACAAAGCTACATAATGGGTTAACTGTGCTGTGCCCACCACGGGTATCACATCCGATTTTAACGTTAAAAGTCTGTAGACTTAACGCTGAGCTACTGGGTCGGCAGGTAATACAAATATTGTCATGATATTTGTGTTTGTATTTTTCATATTTGTGTGGGACCGTTACTCTGGGTTCTGTGATCTCCAGTCCTAAAGCTGCTGAAATTTCGGTCCTAGAGACACATCAAAACTATACGGATTACACTATAAGTCAA